ATATTCTCGAGAACTCTCTATTCAGTCATTTATAATGCATGATAATGTAACAGGCAAGATATTCCTCTTTGTACTGGGCTTATAACGATGTATTTGCGCTTTATTTTATTTATTTATTTATTTTTTTATTTATTTTTTTTTGCAATGTCTCCTTATCTAGATAACAATGTTAAAAGTGATGGTCTCAGGCATCACACAGGCATCTCATTTGGCACTTGGGATAGAGATCCTGCTGGTCCTGGATGCGTAACAAAAAAAGGTGGAGGTTGGTGGTACAGTAAGGATTGTGAAGAACCTCTGCACTCAAATCTCAACGGTGTCTATCAGCTTGGTAGAGGGGGCGAGATCTATTGGGCAAATCTCCATCCCGAAATAGCAAGTGGCAGTGCTCCCACGACAACTGAAATGAAGAGCAGACCTGTGAAATTTTCTTAAAGTTCTCTTGCTTGTTATTTTGCTCACGAAATGTAATTGAAGGGCCTTTTAGTACTATACGCATTGTAAGTACTATACGCCGAATGCAAATATGGCGTCCTATTTGAATTTCCATTGTGTCTCGACTCACTACCCTCGTCTTCACGAGAAAGCACAAAAGGATTATTACATGTGTGAGAGGCTAGTGAGTCCAGAACAATGGCAACTCAAATTGGACGCCATATTTGCATTCGGTGTATACGCATTGCAGATTAAAGTGAATAAAAAGAAAATTGGTGATATATAACCAACCATTGAAATGCTTTCAATGCTTTTGTTTCAAATAAAGTAGGAATACATTTTATGAAAACAATGATAGGAAATAGGTAAGGAAGTTTAGACAGTCGTGCTATGATTTGTTTTAAACTAACATTCAAGCTTTTACTTTGTGTGCAATATATTTTTTTAAATTTTGAATCTTTTTTTTTTTTTTGCACTTTAAAAGGATGAGTACAATGTTTTCATAGAAAAAAAATTACCTTTATTTTGTTAAACCACTGGGTGTTTGTAATGGCAATCAGAGGCCTTCTTAGAGTAACTATACGCTACGAGTCGAAATATTTCTAGATAATGAGATTTATTTGGCTTTAATGTTTCGTTTTCACTCATCAAATACATAATAAAGGCTTTATGTCAAGACTTTGGTCTGTTTATAGAATGAATTACGCTCAAAATTCCATTTTGCTTGACCTTAAAGGGGCATGGAGAGTTCGTGCCAAAAACCTAACAAACCTTAATAAGCCAAATTTTTCTCAACTGATTTTGATCAATGGGTCACTAAAGTACATACTGGATTTTGTATGAAATAAACACAAGAAGGCAGGTGAATGTTATGGTTGTTTGAAAAATGGCAATTTTGGGTAGTGATTTCTGTCTAATCGCTTGAGAACAAAGTTACATTTATGAAGTAAAAGCTCTACTATAGTAGAGTCCATGGTCAAATTCATTTGGCAGCACAATTTACCGCTGGAGTTTTATAGCACTTTAAAAATTCCACCTAGAAGGATGAATTTTTGGTGCTCCATAGCCCACAAATGGAACCCCGGCCCCCGCGAAACAGACCAATCACGACCGACTTACGTCACTTGAGTCTTACAGCCAATAACATCACGGCAAAACCAACCGATCATTTCACACGAACTGGAATAACAACATTCTACTGACAACAATCATTCACTTGACTCTGATGATGACTTCCGCACAGGTTGTCAAAACGTCAGTCACTGCCACCGACAACAGTCCTTCTCAGGACTACACTCACCCGGACGATCAGACTACACCTTCACAGTACAACTGAAGTAAGAGTCGTTGTCATGCTATGGTGAACATTACATATCAGACAATAAAGCAGCCAAGAAACGTTTTAAAAGCTTTTAAGAAACGTAAAGGAGTATAAAGTTTCGAAATTTGAAGTGTGCTACAAGGTATTTTTGTTTACAATATTCAGCGTTCTATATCACGTATTTGTCCATGCGTGAAACATGCAAGTTTGTGTACACACCGTCACATTACTGTGTTTAGATTTCTGCACATATATACTACCTTTGATCAAGACTCATTTTTCGCCAAATACTCTTTAATGTCGTTTGTAAAGCCTTCTCACGCGTTCAAATTAAAGTCGGTGAGGCCTATTCTGAGAAGTTAATTAAGTTAATTATAAGTTGCCCTAAGTCGCCTTAAGTCACCTTAAGTCACCTTATGTCGCCTTAAGTCACCTTAAGGCGCCTTAAGTTGCTTTAAGTCGGTATTGGTTACGAAATGTTATAGGGGTTCCACCTTTGCCAATTGACCCCATTCACCCCACTTCAATCATAAGGATCAGAGGAGGAGGCATAGTGGCTGAATGGTCGGTGCATTGGACTCGAAATGAATCTAGTTTTGGTGTGTAGTATTGGAGCATCGCATTTGTTCTTGGGCAAGATACTGTAAGCTCAGTGCCTCACCTTCTCCTGGTGTAAATATGGGTACCGTTTAGCGAGGGGGGAGGTAACCTTGCAATGGATTATGAGTCTAATTATTGTTATTGCGAGGTGAGCAATGACTTCCATATACATGGAAATCCAATGTGAAAATAGTCATGCACCTGTCTAACCCCTGTGCTGGCACGGGTAATTCCTACATGTAGACAATACTGATGTAGGAAATATGGCAATGTATACTCTTCTATTTTCTTACTCAGACAGAATTTCTGTTTCAACAAAGTTTCTGTCTTGTATTTCATGATGAAAAAGTTGACAAAAGGGTTGACACTGTGTATTATCATCAGAATATAATGACTATTGAATCAAATCAAACCTACAGCTCCGTGCCAGATCATCAAGATAAAACGATAGAAAGGTATTCTGGAGAAAACCTCAATACTTGTCACTCACTTATACCTTGAGCAGTAAATATAACATTATCAAAAGTCAAATAAACTTGACTATAGAATATATCATGTATTTGAACTGCAAATTAATAAATGAAGATGATCATCACAGTTAGGAAGTTCAACACTATTTAAGCAGTAGCAAAAAAGAAGGACGAAAAAAAAATACATTTGTGCGGGATATGGGCCCATGACCTCTGCGATACCTGTGCATTGGTCTACCAACTGGGCTAACAGTTTGGGGAATAGGTCATTTTGTTAGTTTGTTAGAAACACGTGAGTGAGAAAGTTGTATACTCGAGAAAACAATACATATTTTCTGGTTGTGTTTTCACTAGGACAACTTTAGCCAGATAAAGTCAGCAAAGTCCGGAAACACAGCGAAAACACTTGTCTAGTGTTTCGGGAGTTAACGATGCCAGCTGTTTTCACAAGGAAAAACAACGGGTTTCCTCGCCTTTACGACAGGAAACTTACGCAGAATTATACTACCTCGTAAGATGGTTTAACTTGTCCTGACACTGAAATACTGCAGCCAATCGCATCGCGTGTAGTGACAGATACCTGCCAAACAATCTGGAAAAATTATTTTCCAGACCCTTGCCTCGTGGTTCTTTCGAAACAAAACCTTGTATGCTTGTAAACATGGCTAAGGAATTGCAAAACACTTCCCAATTCTTTCGCAGTTTTACAATTCTTCCGGACCCGTTGGAAGCTCAGATCCCTCGTCGTTTCATAGCGCTGGTATGCAGAATCAATTCCCGTTTTACAGGCAACCAGCAGTTCTTCCATACCAAGTTCCTATGCTACATGCGTAACCCTCGACAAGCTCAGTTCCGAGCAGCGAAAGCGAAAACACAAGCACGTTGAATTGCCAGATATTACAACACTCTTTCGCATCCTGCGCATCTTCCGAGACATTAATCGCATCCTCTGAACGAAACTTCTTCTCTTTCGCAAAAATATATAGAGAATCAGTACTAGTGAACTCATTAATAGCGCTTCCTATCCCGTCATTTTTGAAAGTTGCGTGGATTTGTAATTTGAATCTTCCGAGTTCAAGTTAGTGGGTTCAAATTTCCCAGTAAAAACAGTTGTCATGTTTAACTAGCTAATGTCGGTCTGTAAACAAACAAGTAGGAAGAATGTTCAGCTAGTTAATCGGCCTAGTGAAAACACAGCCTCTATTTCAGAGTAATTTATCACTGTACGTGTATCACTGCTGAATAGATGAATAAAGAAAAGTCGTATAGATAACATCAATGGCAATTGTTTTCTCTCTCACTCTCTCTCTCCCTCTCTCTCTCTCTCTCTCCCTCTCTCTCTCTCTCTATAGATATATATGAAGAGAGAGAGAAAACTGCCACCAACTTTATTTTTGCGACTGTCTTTAAATATATCACAGATAACAACTAATCAAGGACATGAATATGTTTGTAGTTTGACTGATTGTTGTTGAAATAAATTATTATCTAACTGAAACAATATTGTATCGCTAAACGCATAATAAACTATTACCTCCATAAAAATGAATTAAAAATGCTGAAAAAACTTCCCAATCAAGAAAATTAAACATGAACAAACAAAAGACATATTTATCGTATATTTGGGGAAAAAATCAGAAAAACTCTTTCTAATCAAGAAAAGTAAACATAAACAAACAAAAGACATTTTTATCGTTTATATGGGAAAAAAGTCAAGAAATTTATCAAACCAAAGGGCATCTGTTTGCAAATATACGCAAACGTCGCCATAGGTTTCTTCTCTACGTGATCGTGATAGGCCATATCAAGCTGCAACCTTTTGACATCATAAGTCCTCTATTGGTTTGTTAATTAAATGAATTATCAATTACATTATATTTTCAATAACTCTTTCTTGCAAATGGAATTATCAGCTTAGGTGTCTGGATCCTTTTGGAAGTGGTGTTTTCAAACAAAAATTTTCAGGAGTAAATCTGAACTACAATTCTACGACAAAAACTCGATGCGTTTTCTTCAAATTTTAACGTGATTAAAACAAACACTTAATTCCTCGGAGATCTTTTCAACATTTCACTTCACCGAAGCATCAAATATCAATTGAAAATAGAATATCTGTTTACGTAATTACTTACGTTTTAATTTTATCAGCAACGAACTCACACAGAAAGACAGTCATCCTGGCTAAGGAAAGATATTATTTCAAAACAAGAATCTGTTCAGCGCATACATCAAACTTTATAGAAGTCCTTTACTTTAAAATGTTAAGGCTGAAATTGGCCAAAAATTTAAGAGTATGTTATAGTTAAAGCTGAAGTAGTTTCAAGACAATATTTATTACTTGCTAATGAAGAATAAAATACGCTTAAATGTCTAAAAATTTTTTAGGAAAAATAAGTCAATTCGGTAATTTTTTGAGAAGAAAACAAATTGAAACCGCTGACGAGACGGTAGACCTTTCTATTTAGATATTGATATATCGGCAAAAGGCATTTATCACAGCGAAATCCTTGATAGTTCGGCGTTTTTTCCCCCAGTTAATAAGCAAGAATCACTGATGAAAGTGTTCTGTTTTAAGAAAACGAACGAGCTTATACGTAGCTGTGTGGTAGTCGGTGTTGTTTTCGACCATTTATTTACAATACTAGCTAAAAAAAGGAAAACAGGCTAAAAAGAAGTTATCTAAACTGCAGCCAAAAGAAAAAAAAAACTTGAAGTGAACAAAGTCACAAGAAAAACAATAACAACACACCCTAATATTTGGGACCTTGATTTATTTTTACCAGCTAGCTCGACGCGAACTTAAAGCAAATCACAAAATTATTTCACTCCCATTATTTTTCAACAGGAGCTGAGGACATTTTTGTTCTAGAAGTATCACAATATTCTTCAGCGTAGAGAGCTGTTTTATCGCTATCCTAAGTTCTCCATTCATGCATTTCCAAGGTTGGTATTCATCAAGGTCTGTCAAGGAAGAGAATAAATCAAACATAAGTTCTAATGATGGTCACTCTTCACCCTTAACGCCCTAACATCAGTATGCATATTCTCCATACTGTTCTCTACACATTTCCTACGGTGCTGACAAGGAGAAATTGTTTAACAATCAAGAGCTTCTTTAGCTGGTGATAATTCTCTTTATTCTCGTGGCCTTTATGACTCATTAAGGGGTGATATTGTAAGGAGTATTTAGATTCTAGTCACTCTTCGAGGTGAACAAAAGATTCACATTTGGCTTATTAGCTAATTTTTTAGTGCAGCTTAACCATGTCTTAACCGTATCAAAACCAGAAATCATAGACATTCAGTGGCTTGAACAGCGTGCGCGTAAATCTCGATTTTCAATGTGGCGGACGAACGAAGGAAAAATCATTCGAAGGGCAATTACTGCAGCTTAAATGCTCTTAGTTCCGCAGATGTCGTGGAGAATACACCGAGAAGAAGGAAAAGCCCTTACATTCAAGTTGAAAGAGTGTTGAGTCGTAGACGAACTCAGAGAAAGTTAAATATCACGCTCGTTTGAAGTGAGTAGCGTATGTAAAATTTTAGCCGTGCACCAAGAAATACCACTTTATATGTTGAAAATGTACCGTGTTAAGGGATGTTTTTGGAGCGTAAAAACGTTTTCTTTGCGAGTTAAACTTCTCATCTTTCGGTTATCATGATTGGGAACCAAATCGGTGCAACCATTTCCTCTTAACAGACTAAAGAAGCCACGAAGGTAAGCCCTATTTTAAGAAATAAGAGAAAGAGGAAAGTCTGGCTATTGTGGCGGAGCCCCATACCCATGGAATATGGTCAACCTCTTTTCGTTTGCTTGTCACGTGACTGACCGAGCGCATGTATGTACGTACGCGCCCTCTGTCATGTATGCCATCCCGAAAGTACTAAGATCAAATTTGAAAATATGGCGTCCGCGCGGCCGACCCTAAAAATTTTCAGGTCGCATTTTTCGTTCATTTGCGATCGAGTTAGACCTCGTGGAACTTAGAATGTAAAGTAACAATGCTATAGAATACTCTGCTTGAAAAAGAATGGATATCAAGGCCTTAAATTTGATAGAATAATCTCTCGATTGAACGACACCACGATTCTCTAAGGCGATGCGAATTATGGACGTAAAGTGAAAACCGAACTTTCGGACTTCAAGCAGGGCCTAGCGACAACTTGACGATTCGATAGCCCGCTAAATATAACGTTCGAGTAACAATGTGTTCAAAAAGTATTGTTTAATAGAAGATTTTGCGTCAAATCGAATTTTTTTCAGAATTTTCAACATAAACGCTGCGAAATTTCTGGCCTAGAAGGCAAGTAAACAAAGATCTAAGCATGATAGATTTTACCGCGAGGGCTTTGTACGCGTAAGAAATTCGTACGTTTTTCGCTTATAACAGCAAATCAAAACTGTTTTGAATAAATCTGTCGTCCCGAAATATTTCTTGGCAAGTTTAGTCTTGCTTCCTACTGATAGATTCTATGGAACTTGAGATCTCTTCACTCACAGACAAATTCACACATTCCATTTGAAATATGATCCACATGCCCATTTGCACACATGCGAAAATATTTAGCGATTTTTATCTTTCATCTTGATTTTTGAGTTAAAACGTAATGTGCACCTATCGCTTTTTTCGGCGGAAATAAGTTCTTTAATTAGCTTGTCTTCTTTCGCTGGAGCTTGATTTTTAGAAAAGATGATTTTTAAAAAAATTACTGCGCATTGTGTTTGCTTTCTTGGTTTCTCCAAAATTTTGACTTATCACAGGCACGTGTTACACGTAAGTATCAATGGGTTTAAACCATACTGAATGAATTTTTGGCTAAAAATTTTTAATTTATGCAAAGAAATTTTATTGCCAAATTTACAATTATTGGGAGCTCCGCTTTTAGGCTAGGGTAAATCTAAATACTATGAGGTTATTGGAATGAAAACGCGCCGTCTAAAAGTCAGTTTTTTTCTCACTTTTCTTTCGATTGAAGTTCGTTTCGAACTTGACTCTATGTATTTTGATGATGGGGAACGTTGAGTTTCCAGCAGTAATGACACAAAGTGCAAAATATTTTTAATTCCCCATTATTTCCTTTCTACTTCGCGTCCATATCTAATCCACATTTCCACGCTTAGCGCATGCTCGCGGCCATTTTGGCAGCCACCCTGTATCAGATTTCTGGTTATGGCTCAAAGTAGTTAAGATTCTTTTTTTTCTTTTGTGGTTAGGAGTTGCGATGCCGTTAGTCTCCTACAAAGCTGTTCTTTAATCTCGTCACACAAAGCGCGACTTCAAAGAAGACCACCATGATGTAGTCCTATAAAATTTTCCTGCGATGTCCAGTTTGTTACTTATCATCCGCTTAAGTAATACGCTGTTGAATTATATGTTTTATTTTCGAAAAGCTATATAACAAAGATGCAAAGACTCTCTTCTTTTTGGAGGCATTTATAATTTTAGTTCAGAAAGGAATGATGATGAAACGAAGGACGATGAAAATGAAGGATTCCCGTGTATATTCCTTTTTCAATTATATTTTACTTATTTTCAAAGAAAAATTTCTACTAATCTAAACAAGAAAAAGTGAGTATAAAGTAATTTTAGTATCGCAAACCAGCAGATTAAAAAAAATAGACACTTCTCGCTGATCAACTTGTAAATGTGATGCAAAAAAAACAAAAAACCAAAAACAAAAGTGAAATTTCATTTTCATTTTCATACGCGATTGCTAATTGATTGGTGCAAAGGTAAACGCATTCAGCTGCACTTCCCATTTCTTATTTCCACTCACCTTCACTGAAATGGTCGTTGTCAACCGCGACGAAAACGACGAAATGCACGACGAACACCACGAATTCTAAGACGAATACGACGAATACCACGTCTGAGTCTACGTCTGAGTCTACGTCTGAGTCTACGTCTGAATCTACGTCTGAGTGTACGTCCTATTCTGCGTAGAGCGCGTCTAAAGCGTCTAAAGCGAATGGGGTCGGCTGACTTTTCTACTGCTCTTATGTCATCTTCGTCACTAACTTCGTCTCCATCGTCGTCGTTGTCGAATGCTGTTTCATCAAAGTGCCCGTCTTCGGTTGCCATATCGTTTTCACTGAGTGAAAGGAAAATATTGCAAAAGATAACCGTTAATGAGCTGGTTTTTTTTTTTTCAAAGATAGTTTAAATGGGGACCTGTGTAATCGATAATAAGGTCAGACGAGAACACCGGGAGCTTCGTTCCCCATATTGGCGAGAAGTGTGTAAGTCCTTTCACATCCCCCTGCTAATCATTACAGAGAAATACTGGAGACGTTTTATCATTCATATCCGAGAAGACTAGAACGTCTAGCCATTTCGGATGCCACAGCAAAGGCAGCAAATTCTCCTCAGTTATCTTGAGACACTGAGTGTTGGTTGGCCGATTAAGTTTCACAAATATAAAACTTTCGCTCAGAACTCCTACTCAGAACATTTCACCTCGCAAGTTTCCAAAATTATCAGTCTGTTTTTGGTAATCAGAATAAATAAATCTTCCTCAAAGTACCTAGTAGGGATTGCCATATCCTCGTCCTCTTGGTCCTCTTCGTCGAACTCTCCATCGTTCGCTATCATGTCATATCCCCTAAAAAAAAAGTCAAAACCATTTCCACTGCAACACTCCAAAATTTCAGAAAACAAAAATATTTATAAACTAAACTTTTAATCCCATGATTTTTGAAAAAATGTTTTGTAAATCTTAGTTCTCCCCACGCTAGCTAAATAGATCGTCTACGAAGTAATTGCCAGTTCCCACCACAATCTAGTTTTCTATTCTTGTTCCCGAAGAAACAGGAGAAACTCGGTAGATGTCGCACCTTTATGAACGCCACTTAGTGGCTAGTTATTCATCATTATCCAACTTACCCCCGAAGTTTTTCTGCTTGAAATTCATCTGTTATGTCGGCCAACTCCTTTTCGGTAACTGCGACTGAAAAGCCAACAGCGAGTACAAAGCTAAGCAAAGCCAAAATAACAGATGTCTTCATTTTGACTTCTTCGTTGGAACTTGACTTCTCAACTGTGGGAAGCTTCAAAGATCACTGCTTTTATGCATACCATTCTGGGTGATAATTAAACCTATTTTTCGTTCCGATCCTCATTCCACTCGATATCGGAAATCTGTAAAAAATACACTTACGTATACACTTGTAAGTCTTAAAGATATTGGGTCCGTCGTGTAATTATAGTTTAATGATATTTTACATTCATATGTTTTGAAGCAAAACGGATTTTAAGCAAAAATAAGCACACATTCTGCAATTTAAATTTTGGTACGTTTAACGATGCAGCTGTGATAAGTTGAATTATTTTAAAACTTTCTTGTATCTATTTATTCACTTGTGATACCTTTTTTCTGTACACAGCAAAGATAAGCAAGCCTGCCATGAAAGATTGAACAACACGGGTTGCACAGCGACGATATTAAGCTCACACCTGGTGTACAGAGCGTAAATACTTTGAAGTAGGAGATATGAACTGTCTTTTTGAGTAGGCAATGCTTGTATTCAGATCACCATGTCAACCATATTACTCGATATCTGATCAAGGAATGTATACCGCCGAAAATCTGTAAAAAATAAAATGACTGAGGTATACACTTGCTGCTCTTAAAAACTGACCAAAAATTCAATGAATCGTCCTACTAAATGTTCTTCTGTCTTCTACCGATGTTAATGGAGAAACCAGATAGTTTGATAGTGTTTACTCGTTGAATTTCATCTTTTTTTTGTTTGGGGATGACAACACTTTCTTTCATTTCATTTCATTAAAATCATAGATTTGATTAGCATATACCATGCCCATATAATCAGTGGTTTTAAAGTACACGAATGACATCAAGAAATATTTTATCTATTTGTCGGTAAGACAAACATGCAGCCACCCACCCACTGACATAGTTTGATAGTATTTTGTCTTTGAGATTTTTTATCATTTCTATTTTCTTACATTTCTATTTTTGCACCTGGCAACACTTAACTCGATTTTATATCATTAAAATAGATTTGATAAACACATATCATGCAAATACGATAAGTATTTCTTAAGTTCACTATTGATGTCAGGAAAGATTTTATCTATCTGTTGGTGAGACAAACATACACCCACACGCTCGAGAAGTTATACGCTTCAAAAGCCATATAGGAATTTGAACTTCCTCTTCTAGAACATAAACATGAAATTCAAGGACTGAAACCGCGTTTTAATTGTTACGAAGTGTATTTGGTTAGTTTAGTTGGTCCGCGCAGTCAGTTTCGATTTGTTAGTCGGGTCAGTATGATTTAGTCATTCTTTTATGATTAGAATTTAGTTACTATACATGAATTTAAAGTCCGAATTTATTTGGGTTACGCTATCGTGATGAGTTTTCGAAGCGGGACGATCTTGTTCAACTTCCATAAGCGGGAGTGCCTAATTTGTCTGCTGACCTTGCCGTGGACGAAAGTTCTTAATTGTTCTGGCTGACGCTGTCAGAGGTTGAATCAGTTAATCCAAAGCACTAAGTACAGGACGATGTTCACTTCAGAAGTCTCGTGAAGTTGTTTAGGTTAGTATTCCAACAGCAATTGTTCCATCTCCCCGGAAAGGTCAACCAGCTGACATGCCAGCCCATACCTATCAGTAGTCAATATATAAGGATGTTCTATAGAGCTTACTTACCCAGTAGAGAAGAATATAGACAATATGCAGAAGAGTAGAGAAAGAATTCAGTTGAAGTGAGTGTTTAGCAGCACGAGTCACTGAGAAGCATTCAGTGAGAATCAAAGTGTGGGAGGCTAAAAGTTTAACCAGAGTTGCACATAATTCACTGAAGTTGGATGTTATTAGAACTGTTTTCTAGCGAACCGATTAATTAAAGAAAGAAGGAAGAGGCAGTTTTAGAGTCCCTTGGTGCCCAACATTTGATAGCATAATAAAATCTTTTGAAACTTGTCTTCAAAAATACTCTACATTCGACTTAAGAAGTCACCATTTTCAGTCTTATCCCTTACTCCTTCCTCTTTCATTTCTTGACAATCTGTTTGAGTTACACAAAGAAGCCTTCTCAACTTAAAAATGGCTTTTTTGCCTTAACAAGAGCAGCAGCTGTATTTGTACCGTTTACTAAACAATACTAAAACTAATATTGAAGTTTGTGCTAACAGCCTGTCTACTAAGTTTTCTTTAAAATAGCCGCATCGATGTTCGAATCATTACCACATTTGGTAGCAATTTTCGAACGGTTAGGTTACCTCTGGAATCTCAACACGCAGTTAGTTGGGTTTCCGCACAGCAACAAATCTAAACTCGCAGTAGACAAGGTTTAAATTTCCCTAGCTATAAAAAAATTAGTTTGGAAAAAGTGCGAGTCGAGCAAAAATTGGATGGCGGATGTAAATAATCAAACAACAACAAACATATGAAACATATGTATGAACTGCGGTTATGAGACGTATATGTGAACGATCCTTCGCAGTAAAGCACTATTTGAGCAATAGTGAAAATCAGACCTGAAAAAAAAAAAAAAATTCAGGCCTGTACGGGATTCGTAAATAATGTTTGGGAAGAGCAAGGACGTAGCCAGGGGGGTCCTGGGGTGCCCGTGACCCCCCCTTGGTAGGCCTTCTTTAGAGCAAACAACCTACAATATTCAGGTGGCGAAAACGCCATGACAATATCTTGACCGAAAAAGCTATTGTTGAAAAGCCCACTTTTTTAGAACTTTTCTTTTTTTTTGTAAAGTATTTTCGTCAACGGCTCTTGTATTTAGTTAATATGGGCCTTCATTCCGCGATAATATGACTGAGCCCGCTGATACACGCGGGAGAGCAGCGGTGTAAATGGTGAGTAGCCTCTGTGATCCTCCCTTTGGAAAATCCTGGCTACGCCCTTGAAGAGCACGAGGAGTTGCTAACTACACAGCCACATATTGTGCTCCCTTATATGGCACTTGATATAGCATTGGAGAAGATTTCTTATCAGATGGTAGAAATAATGTGTACGCGAATAAATGGTTGTATTTTGGTTGCCTAAGTTGTATACTGAACGACTATAAATATATGAATATATCATGTATTTGAACTAGCTAGATTGATAAATGAAGATGATCATCGCAGTTATGAACACTGTTTAAGCGGTAGCGAAAATAATCCTGAAAAAAAAATTTAGGCTTGTACGTGATAAAGGTGAAATAAGGATCGCGACGAAAAAATAGATTGAACGACTGCTGGTATTTAGCGTGGAATTGCGAGTTGAAAACGAGGCTAAGTGATATTGTTTCGCATCCACGCAAGCATCAAAACTACGGTGAAATGGTAACACCACAAATGCAAGAAAGTTTTTCTTCAGTGTCATTCTAGAATATTTTCAAAGCCATTTTTACCTTTTCAGGAGCCAAAAACAAGCAAAAACGATTTTTCAAGTGAGCGGAGGTTCTTCTTGACTCCAATATAGCTTTCTGGAGCGCGCGCTCAGGATAATAACAAATAATATTATTGCTGTTTTCCTTTTCTCGTATTTTTATTCTCTTATGCGATTCAAGGAAAATCCATTACGTGACTCGAGAGTTCCGCGTTAAATTGCACTTGAAAACCGATATCGCACTCATCGCGGTTTTCGCGTGTAATTTAATGCGGAATTCCCTCGTCGGGTAATGAATTTTTCTGTAGAATTCACATCATTTTAGCTTTTTATTACCATTACATTGCATTATCAAGTATTAAATTTCACGTGTTTCTATCAGTAAAATGAAGTAAACTTATCGATATATCAAAGGAAAGCTTTTAAGTGAATAAATATTCTAAAACTACGTGGTTTGTCTGATAACATCAATACAATACAGACGGGCATTCTTGAGTCTATTTTTTCACAGATTTCTAAGGGTCTGCATTCCATGATCAGATACAGAGTGATATGGGGATCTGAACGAAAAATCAATTTTGATATCACCGAGAATCGGATGAATATTGAAAAGCAGTGAGCTTTGGGGCTTATTACAATTGAGAAGTGAAGTTCCAACGGAGAGGTCAAAATCAAGACATTTGTTATTTTGGCTCTGTTTGGCTTTGTACTCGCTGTCGGCTTTTCAGTCGCAGTAACTGAAAATGAGTTGGCCGACATAGCATGAATTTGAAGCAGGAAAACTTCGAGGGTAAGTTGGATAACGAAAAATAGCTATAAATGATGAAAAAAGCAACAAAATGAAATTCACAAAGGTGCTACATCTACGAAGTTCCTCCTGTTACTCCAGGAAAAGAAAATAATACTAGATTGTGGCAGGATCAAGAAATTACTCCAATGACAATCCATTGAGCTAGCGTCGGCAACTAAAAATTAGACCTTTCTCCATTTTCCCAATTGATCTTCTGCATATTTGGACAACTCACTCTGTAAAACCTGCTTGTTAAAAATCATGGAGTCAAAAGTAAACTTTATAAATGAATTATTTTTGTGTAAGTGGACTTTGCTTCCTACTAATTCCAAATGTTGCAATGAAAACAATGAGAACACTGCAACTCGTTCCTCGACCTCACTTGAACAATTGAGCTTATTTATGGCTTTCTTATTAGACTTTTGAAAATGCTTTTTTCTTTTGATATCAGTTTTGAATTGTGTCGCAGCGGGAATGGTTTTAATTTGTATTTTAAATGTAAATACATGACTGAGAACGACGGAGAGTCCGATGAGGAAGACCTAGAGGACGATGATAAGGCAATTTCCAGAAAGTACGTTGAGGAAATGGTTAGACTTAATTCTCGGATAACGGTGTTAGCTAGTGATCAGGGGACGTCATAAAACCCCACGTACTTTTCGCAAAGAGTAGGGAAGGTAGCTCTAAAAGTTGTGGTCTGGCCTTGTTAATGTTTGTCAGGCCTCCACTTAAACCAGTTTAAATGCTGAACTGAGTCAGCCTGTTTACATATCACAAATAAATAAATGAACAAATAAAAGTACAAGTTTGTCCAGGATTATCTTTTGTATTCTTGCTCTCAGTAAAAACGATATGGTAACTGAAGACGAGGAGTTTGACGAAGGATCATTCGACAATGATGATGATAGAGACGAACTTGAAGATGAAGTAAGAGTAATAGAAAAGTCAGCTGACCCTTTTGACTTTAGACGCCGGTTCAGACGGCGTACTGACGGTTCAAATGGCATGTACTGCCCAGACAGTCCACTCGCATTCGACGTAGGTTTCGTCGTAGATTTCGCGGTTAACGAAGATGATGGAATGAACAAAGGTCTGATGAGGGTGAGTGGAATAGAAAAATAAAAAAAGAGGAATGGTGCCAGCAGCTCCTGATTCTTGCAAAAATTCGCCTTCTTAGCTTCTTGGAAATGTAGAGAGAATATAGATATTGATGTCAGAGTGTAAAGGATAAAGAGTGACCATCATCAGTAGCCATCTTTTATTTTTCTCTTCCTTGCAGGTCTTGATGAATACCCAACTTAAAAATACATGGAGAACTTAGGACCACTCATGATAAGACAACTTGTTCTACTTCTAAAATAAAGTGAGAGGAAGAAGTTGTGATTTTCTTCAATTTCGCGTCAATAAAAATAAAGAAAGTTCACTAATACCTGGCTCTACTGTTTTTGTTTATTTGTTGTTTTTTTTCGTTTCATTTACTTTTTGGGTTATAGACGAGGTACATTTTTGCTGCGCTGCGAGCGTTGCGAGCGAGCAGCATCATAATCAGGATTGGAGAAGAATACAGGGGATGCGAATTCTCGAATTCATCACTTTTTACCAGAATGCATTGCAGATTTTAACCAGAGTTCACTGTGCCACGATTGTTGTGTTTAGTGCATTGCATTAGATAGCGTTACTATTGTAAGGACATTTCCTATATGTACTTGATCGTTAAATAAATCTACTATCTTGATCACTGAATGAAGGACAGTTCAATTAGGGCAATGAAAGGAGTCACTTGATCAATGAATAACTCTACCTTACCTGAATAGTTAGTATACTTTCTCTCCCGCAGAAAATAACTTCAGAGATATGTTTCTCAATGTAAGTCTGGGAACACGCAGATAGGTGAATCACTGCGTACATTTTGCTGATGTCAACAGAATGCGTCGCACCTTTACTATCTTTTAGATGACCGATTCCGAGAACACCTTCGCGACGTGGAGAGCAATGACAAGGTCACATCGAGACCAGTCGCTAGACATTCTAATTTACCCAATCATTCTAGGCAACATATGGCAATCTGCGGTCTTTCCTTACACTTAGGTAGCACGGAAAGCCGCAAAACTCTTGAACAAAGGCTCATCTTTCAAACCGGCAGTCTAAATCCCACAGGTATCAACGAATTTATTCGTGTTTTTCTCATTGCCATGTTCCCACCAATCACGTAGCTCCATTTTCTGCCTTTAAAAGCACACACAACCCACAATTCCTCTATTCGCTCCGACGAAGGGCTAACGCTCGAGACGTCAGCATTTCTAATCGTTACGGTGGCCAATTTACCATTTCAACTTTGTTGATATATCCAAATTATTTCGTTACCCCCACCGACGCAGCCCAAACAGTTTCTTTAGAAACTATCAGCCTTTATAGCAGATAGTATCAATTACTCCCAGTTAACAGTAGTTGAACTGTTTTGTTTTTTTGTTTTTTTTAGGTTGTTCACTGCAGCGCAGGGGTTGGCAGAACTGGTACTTTCGTTGTGGTGGATGCCATGTTACAACGTATTGCTGCAGAGAAGACAGTAGATGTCTTCGGATACGTTATGACACGGCGACGTGACAGAAATATCATGGTCCAAGTGGAGGAGCAATATGTTTTTATTCATGAAGTTCTTTTGGAGGCCATCCATTCTGGATACACTGAGATACGAGCTAATGATCTTAGATCCCACATGAAGCTTCTCATGCAAGTCAGTCCTACAACTGGTGCGTCTTTCTTTCATCTTTAACCTGTCTTTTAATTAATTTGTCTTTTGCTTTTTCAAAAAGGTAGAGAGGTACTTATTGAGCAATATTTTTTGCTACTGTTAGGCTTGGAAACTAAAAGATTCCAAAGCTTGAAGTTTCTAGGAGGATGATACACGCAGCAGCGTAACCTTAAAAATAAAAACTCTAACTGGCCTCGGCTTGCTTGATAGCTCCGTGTTTATCGCCTCACACATTGACAATTGACTCTTAGATGAAAAGAAATCACGATAGTGAAAAAAATCAATTAAACGTCTGTCCAGGAGAATGCAAAGGAACCAGCTTTCACTGTTCCCACAGTAACATTTTTCAAGAAAATGCCGTTTTTTTGGATGAAATTTCCTTGCTTAGGCTCTGTAAAAAGTAGTTAGGCCTGAAGACCTTTGTATTCGTAACCTGATCTTTGGCAGTCAGATTCTCAGCTGTCATGCTTTCGTTCTCTTTAGCTGTTTTCCTTCGCTTTACAACGAAAAACCAAAGGAAATCTAAAGGCCCCTATTCCAATGCTGACGTCATAGTCTGTGCTTACATTTTCAAGCCAAACTGAAATGGATGAAGAGTTCATCCATTTGGATCGCGGCAATGCTCCGCAATCCAAGTTCCAGGCTGCCAACATGGGCTACAACAAGACGAAGAATCGTTATGCAAACGTATCAGCCTTTGACGACACTCGGGTTAAACTGAGTATGATCACTGGAATAGAAGGCTCTGATTACATTAATGCTAACTTCATTGATGGCTACATGACCAGAAGGGCATTCATTGCAACTCAGGCTCCCATACCAGACACTATTACAGACTTTTGGCGCATGATCTGGGAACAACAGTCCTCCACTATAGTGATGTTGTCGAAAGAGACTGAAAGTGGCAAGGTGATCACGGAACATATTTACAAATTACAGAATTTTGTTACATACCCATAGAAAAGTGGCCACAAAAGAAGAATGAATATAATATAGTTATTTTGTCTTTTAGCTGTAAGGTCTGTTTCTCTAAAGTCATTCACAATTTCATGTCTAACAGCTAGAAGGCAGAATTGAAAATCAGATCATGGTAGTTATAAGATTCACGAAAAATGTCTTAGTGTGAAAAAGTTCTTCTTTGTGCATGTGTTTGTACTAATCAAAGATTCGTTCCAATTTATACCAAAAAATATTCTAGGGCACAGAAGTGCACTTAGTAAATCTTGTAGTTTTCAGCTCAGAAAATAGAGAATCATGGCTTCAATAACTTTTTCCATTAAACGCTCCTAATGGTTCAGTAGGTGACTGTACCTGATAAAGGACCGTAATGCAAAACCTAGACAGTGGTAAGAAGTCTTACAGGGGGCCGTAGACCGGCGCTGGTAACTGCATTTTATTTAAACCCTTAAAGCCGTGAAGAATACAGTTATATTTTCATATTCATTAAAGCGAGGGCATCACTACGTCGGAGGTATTTTACATTTACGACCAGTTTTGTTCTTCGACTTTGGGTTCGTTTTCGTTTCGTTTGTGTTGGGAGTTTGGCGTGAGAAACAACAATCATCGGTTTTAAGATTAGATTGTTTCAACTTTTAGATGTGAAATTATTTATCTTCTTTTAGGTCAAAGTACATCGGTACTGGCCTGCCAAGCAACCCGGGAATATCGGAACCCTGGTTGTGGAAATGACCAATCAAATGGTTTATGAAGACTATACAATGAGAGAGATAAAACCTTCTATGCTACCTTAGACTACCTAAGTTTGTCGAGGACCACCAATGCCCTTGTAGAGTCGGTTGTTTTAGTCAATGTGAAGTTTTTCTGCGAGAGGACTTGACGAGGCAGCAAATAGCGAGGACAGAAGGTAGCGACAATTCGCCTTGTGTGACGAAGAGATTTTTGTGGAAATATTTGTCTCTATGCGATCGCATTATTTTTCCTGAAACAGGTCGCACGAAATAGAACACGTCTAATTCTTGGAGGGGGTTTGTTGTTGGGAAATAAGGCAGAGATTTCTTTTGCGGAAGAAACGCATTCAGAGTGGGTTGCAGAAGAAGCCTGTCTGAATCAAAGCATGTTTCCAAATTTCCGGTCAGGAAAGATATGTTCCAAACACTTACGAAGTGTATCTCAGGTTCATTGCGTTTTAATTCTCAAGTACAATAATCCAATGTACGGTTTGGAATCGGTAGAGAGTTGTTACACGTGTTCAGGAGGCTTGGTTGACCTCTTTAACACGTCACTTGTATTCTGAATGCTTCAGGAGAGTGCATCGCGAGTTGTTCGTCAGTATCACTACACTGGTTGGCCTGACGTCGGCTCCACAGAGTCTGGTACAAGATTGATCGATCTCATTGGCCAGGTACAAAGGTGGCAGCAGAATTCAGGAAACACGACTACCACTGTACACTGCAGGTAAATAAAAACACTAATACCTCTACTGATGAGACACAAAGCTAAAGAAGAATTGGCCGATTTCTTGTCTTTAAATTATCAAAAAAAGTGGCTCAACTTTGATAACGATAGGCTTTGTTATACAAGTGAAAAATTATCCTATATAGCCATTTTTGAACAAAGGCGCAACAGCTTCAGAACACACGAGGAATTTGTCGAAGTTTCCGATTAGCATACGAGCGGGAAATTTATATCGCTCGGAAAGACTAGACTTTAGTTTAGAACTATGACAGCGTCTGGAGAAAGATTTATACGCACGGTCGACTGAAATCCAACAGCAATAATAAAAAAAAAGGAAATGTTTTCAACTGAATACCTTTGCAAAGATTGTTTTCGAAGAGATATTTAGACGCACAAGTACTGTACTGGAGAGAGGTGGTCTGAATGAGACACAACATATTTTGAATTCTCGATGTCTGCATTTCCACATTAGCGGTCAATTTTTTCCTGGGGTAGACCATTGAGAGGTGACTCGACGAGACAAATTTACGCTACCCACTCCCCGAAGCGGCTTAATCAGCGGTTAATTTTCCCTTGGGGTACTCCGGTCACAATCTACCTGTCGAGCGCAAATATGCGCCACCCACTCTCCCAAAATAGCTACATTGTCATGCTCAAAATTTTTTTTTCCGATTAGTCTCGAACTTTTTCGCATCGCTTCTGCCAAAGTCCCTCAGCGCTACAAAGAGTGTGAGAAGTTGAGCCGGAACAATAGACCATTTCTTGAAATATATAAAAATGATAAAATTGCGACTTCTCGTGTTTTGAAGTTGCAAAGGGTCACCTATGATTTGAACGCACAAAACCCCAACGACCGGTTCACAAACAGCTGTTGTTCTGGCCATTGAAAAACATGTTATTTTGGTCAAGAATACCTCATTGCAAAGCATCTTAGCGTTCAGACAAACACTTAGAGGTAAGATTAGTGAGATTGTATGACATTACAGGTACTTGGCCAGGTTCCCAAGCTAGACTAACTATAGTGGTCTCGTTTGTGGCTTTCTTTTTTTTGTCGCCCAGTTTTTAAAAAATTGTGTTGCTCTTCGGAATCTAAAAGCGTAATCCATGTAAAAAACTACTACATTTCTTTGAAAACTACCTGAATTAAGTTTCTTTATATCGCTTTCTATCAGCGCTGGAGTGGGTCGCACCGGAGTGTTCTGCGCCCTCAGTATTTTGATCGAGCGATTAAAGAATGAAGGTGTAGTCGACGTCTTCCAGACTGTGAAGCAGCTGAGAGCTAAGAGGCCCGCTATGGTTCAAACAAAGGTTAGTGCGTCAATCTTTTAAGGAAGTTTAGTTTCTATTGAGCACTTTCACCCCGATTCACAGGGTTGGGGGTTGGACAGAAGCCTTTTTTTTTTTTGTTTTTGTTTTTTTCGTTTCTGTGCGAGGGCGTATACCGCCGGTGGAAAATAACTGGCCAGATTTTTAAATAAAAACTAAGTGGGCTGGTTTTGATCGCGCCTCGTGAGTCCACAACATACAAATGAGTTCTTAATTATAAAGACTAGCATGTTGTAAGGTGGTATGTGTAAATAAGTCTAACTGCAGCGAGCCATTTTGGTTGATGGTAAAAGATACCCGCTACTGCTTGTGTTCTTAGTGGAGGAGGAGAAATTGTTAAAATCTTTCTCAAAGTAGTTCAAAGAAATGACAATGTACAATTTTCAAGTCAGTGTGATTTAGTGTGCTATCAAAAGCTGTCGAGTTTTAATCCAAAATTGTCCTCATCTTAGTTCTCTGTACTTTGCTATGACGGTTACAGGTTCTCATTTAATTTCTTGATCTATTCCTCTCTTTCAGGATCAATACGAGTTCATTTACTCTGCTCTTAGTGAGTATTTGCACTCTTTTGATGCCTATAGTAATTTTGAGTAGCTGGCACGGTTAAAGATAAAACAGCCACAGGAGAACTATTTCAAGTGGAAGAGGAAAAGGCGATAACTTTTGTCTATTTTTGTATTTAGTAATTAGATCATTTTTCTTTAAAAAAACTATGCTCTTAGCCTTCTGCCGATCATAAGTCATCATTACTTACTGTAAAAAAAAAATGCTTCACATAACTGATAATTTTATAAACGTAATGTGCTCTTATAAGAAAGCTTTCCCATTGTAGAATAGAAACCTCTAAAGATCGTTGTAGGAATCAGATACCTTCAATAGCATTCGGTATCTAGCATTCTGAAAATTACCAGAATCTTTTAAATTAATGATACAAATAAATTCATGCTACGTACGAAAGTTATAGACGATAAATTGTATAGCTTTTAGAGAAGTATTTATTTAAAAGTGTGTTCTCTCATTCAAAGAATAGAACTTTTCACCAAGCCATCACGTCCTAAATGCAGTCAGGCAATATGTATGCAGTTTTCTGAGTGGAAATTTTTCAATATATTGATAGAAGTAATATGATAAATAAGCATTTTTTGCAACGAGCAAGTGTAGATAGACTTTTGAAATTCTTGTTTAAAAAAATATGTAATCAATTGATTGGGTAGCCTAGATAATTTGACAGAAGAAGCGTACCCTTAAGAACTGCAGGAGAGAACTCTTTCTACTTTTAATATTTCTTGACATAGTTTTCAATAATCGGGATAAATCGAAACAGATACCACAGAAACTTGACAATGGCTTAATAGAAACAAGTGCAAATGTTAAAAAAGGAAAAAGTTCTTTGGTGCGGTAAAGAACAGAGAACTTTGTTCACCTTAGTATAACAGTTTTCTTTTTTCTATTTTCTATTAATTTTTGTAATTTTAACATACTAGGCTGTGCCTTTGTGTAATTCTTTTTTTAGGCTGCTGAATTTACATAGCAGCTTCTTTTTCAAGGTCACCTAACAAAATTGACGAATCCTACAAGAGCAAGAAATTCTGACTCAACTGTTTGCAGTCTTTGAGAGTTAAGTGAATTTCGGCGAAATAACCTTTTTCTTTTCATTTTTTGAAAGTGATTGGTCAGTTTTATTCAGGTGAACCTAGATATATTAAACTAACCAATGATATTACAACAAGCCAGGATTGAATTAAGTGATTTTTTAAGGTAGGAGTAGGATTTGACCTACAGTGGACAATATAAAACTTGCTTACAATGATTAATGGTAATCAAAAAATTTAATATGCTCAAATGTGATTTTCATCGCAAGATTGGTGAAAAAATGTGAAAAATATATATTTACTTTTTTTGTAAAACGAGCTTCTGTTTTTGACTTAAAGTTAAAATGGATCAAAACTCCCCCCTCCCTCCCTCCCTTGAAGTCAGACTCTACCGCACTCCCTTCGAAACAAGACAGGGATCGTTCACATCCTTCACACAATCCTTGGAAGTTTCTTAAACAGTAGTTTGTCTTTAAGGGGCTTGGGGAGAGGTAAGTATTCCGTCTTGTCTTTAAAATTCGTTCCCAGTCCCTGTCGTAAAACCAGTAGACACAAATGTTCAAGTCTTAAAGGAATGGTCTCCAGTTGCTTGAGAAAATTGTGAACCTCCGCACGTCGTGCAACATGGACAGCGGTGACCTTACCATGGTTACAGTTTCTCACGCTAGCTCCAGCTCCGCACAAGAGGGCAGCACATTCTTTAATTTCACAGTACATTGCGACATAATGAAGTGGTGTTACACCATCGTTGTCTGTCACATATGCATCGGAACCAAACTTGAGTAAAAGCGCAAGGGTAGTGTAGTGAACCTTAAAAAGTAACAGACAGAAAACCTCGCACTCTTTCCCATGGCTTTCAAAAGCACATACCATAAACATGTGGCTTTTCACAATTTAAAAACATACTTAACAGATATATTCCATGTTGCCCTAGGTCAAAAAAAGTTCAATCATTGGTCAGAGAATACGTCAAAATGTGGATATGAACAGCAATGACAAACTCGGCTGCGCGCCGTATGTCACTTGGGCTTCGTTCGCCACTCCGCACTGTGTGCTATGTTCTTGCTACGTTTTGACGTCCGCTATGATCCAGTATGGTACAGAACTATAACAATATGGAATCTATACATTTTTTTTATTTCCATGTGATAACAAACCAAATTCTGTTTATTGTGAAGTAATCTATGCGTCCGTCATCTGATATATCAGACATATATCATGAATGAGAACCAAACAAAATGTGTCTATCAATTAGGTTATGATAAAGCCGAGGAGATTATGCAAAGTCAGCAGTCGGCTATGACGTTGCTCGGGAACCAAGTTTATGCTTTCAAGCACTTAAGAGCGTTTCACTTATTAAAAATCTTAAGAAATTGCTTTCATTAATATTTCGGCGAGAAAAAAGTTTGGAAGGTGACAGAATTGGTTACGATTACACTTTTATATAGCGTATCTTACCTTCATTCTTTCCCGAATTCGGATACCAGATCTCGCCGCCATCTGCAACGGTGTTTCCTGGGTGGCGCTCCGCGCGTGGACATTCGCGGCGTGATTGCAGAGGACAGCTACCAGTTCAGGGTAACCATATGTAGCAGCTAGGTGAAGCGGAGTGTATTGAGAAAACTGGGTAGGGTTTACATCACATCCTGAATCAAGCAACAGCTTGGCGCTGTAGGTGTTTGCTCCCTGGACCGCGTAATGCAGAGCCGTGTAACCATAGTTGTCTTTCTGATCAAGGATCTTTTTATCTTCTGAGAAACTTCTGCACAGTACTTCAAGACTCTTGTAAACGTCGTGAGAAGCAGCTATATGCAAAGCTGTTCTGCCATACAAGTCAACGCTGGCTAGAATCGAGTTACCTGTAGATAACAATTTTTTCAGTAATTCTGTTTTTCCCAACAGCGCTGCATAATGAAACTCAGGCAAGCCTTGAAAATGATTTTGATTTTCTCGAGTTTGGTTCATGTTCGCTTTGTTAAAAACTTCTTGAGAGGATCCTTAATTCTGAACGATCTTAGAGTAAGATGCGGACAACAACGAACAGAAGACGTTTTTTGTCAACTCCTTCATCTGAAAGTGCCCACGTCATTTTTGCTAACGGTTAAATTTGAACATTTGATTTTTTTTGGAGCACGAGCGCGCGCGGCACGGAAAAATGATCTTCGTAGGCGCACGCAATTGTCCGCGTGATTCTCTTCCTACCGCATTTCGCTTTTCTTCAGTGTGTCTCCTTGCACTTCACAGGGAACTTTGCGCAATTGTTGGAGCCCATTGCATGCTTTGGTAATGCATGGTGTAAAAATAAAACAACCTCAGAATCAGACAGTTTATAGCGTTTGGTTTCCTCTTGTCTTCTTCTGATCTCTCTAAATCGTCAAAAAAATCCACAGATTGCTATTAATCCAAAAATAAATTTAAAACAATGGAACTCTGAGCGTTCGCCTGAGAATTAGATGGTCTAAATTTCCAATTTCTTTGTTCTGATGAACACCCTGACTTACCTGAACAGCACACAAATTCAACTTGCGGAAATCGCACTGAAAAAAATATTACGTAAATATTCATTGCTTGAATGGCGTAAACTGAAATTCTCACGAAAATATCGACCTGACGGCCAAATTTGTAATTTTGATTTTATATCGTTAAATTCCAAATCTCTCTTCCCATCACAAAGAGATACTTTAATGGTAATAATTGACAGATCACAATTGGAATCAGACAGCCTTAACAACTCATCCAGAAAAAAAGGACCGGCTGATTCACCTGTAACTGGTTTTAGTATAATTTCAGAGCTCAGCAAAAAGTTTCCAGCAATCTGATTGGTCGAGCGGTTCCTTGTATGACGCAATATAAACCGCTCCACGAGGTTTATATAATATGTTGAAATAAAATGTTGTTAAATGTTACCAAATGTTATAATTTTAGAAATTTCTGTGTTGTTCAGCTCTGAAACTATACTAAAACAATTATTCGACGATATTCACCTCGCCCTCGGATAAATAATTGTTAAATATCAACTAAGTTGAAATAGTAAATTGTCCACCGTAACGAATAAAAAAGCTGACGTTTCGAGCGTTAGCCCTTCGTCAGAGCGAAAGGGCTAACGCTCGAAACGTCAGCTTTTTTGTTCGTTACGGTGGCCAAGTTACTATTTCAACTTAGTTGATATAACTAATTACTTTGTTACCCCCACCGACGCGGCACAACAGTTTCTTTAGAAACTTTCAGCCTTTGTTTATTGTAGACCTCTGTGAAAGCAGTATCTGCTGTGCGGATAGTGCGATTGTTCAGCTCGCACTATCGCTCCATTTTCTACTATTCTCGTTGAAAATGGAGCTGCAATTAAAAATTTCAACGGGAAATTAATTGCGAAACATGGCTTTAGTTTCAAGTGTAGTTCGCAACAACGAGTTAGCGAAGAGTGTCGTTAGATGCTGACCGCTAACTATAAATTTTGGAGTTATTTGCTGCAGTTATCCTAAATTTCACTAGTTTGTGGACCGGGAAATGTTTGAACTTTCGAGATGCGTCGAAGGTAAGCTGTATGACAAGATCGGCTCTAGGTGTTCGATTTTGGTGTAGCCGAAAAAATCACAAATGCTCAAAGATGTGCTGATTCAAACGTTCGTAACTTTTGAAGTCGAAAACGTAAGGGGGATTTTGCATGCGTTTGTCTTTAAAGGTATAAACGTACCGGCTGTATAGGACAGAGTTGTCAACCAGGTCCTAAATCCCAAAACTTAACGTCTAGAAAGGTTTTTAAGCAATCTGATACAGATTTGTGGCTTAACTATGCCAATCAAATATTTTACAATGTTACAAAAATATGCCTGTTTTTCAATACTCGAGATGTTACGACGGTCCCTACGGACTGGGGAAAAAACTATGGCCCCTAATACAGTCAGAAAATTATTTCCAATTAAACCAAATCTAATTTAGCTCTTTCCTAAGTCTACTCTTTCTGTTGACAGAGTTTCGAGCAAAATTATTATTGACGCAAAATTTATCTTGGTGAAATGAGAGAGACAGCCCCTTAAGATTTCTATAGCATTTTAGTGATCACTTCCTCAATTTATAACTGATGCTGAGTTATAACAATCTTCGATCACTTTTCAACAAAAAAGATGGAAAGCCAAATTAAAGGTAATTCAAGATCTATCATTATCGCCTAGATAATTAATTGTCGTCATCATAAATCAGCCTCACCAGTGGATTTTCTCAAGATGACAGATATTTACTTTCCACCAATTCTTCCAGCCACGAGTTCTTCCTGGTGTGAGGATCTGTGAAGATTCGTCTGTTAACTCCTCAGTCTAAATAAGTAGTCTTTAATCCAACGGGTCAGCAGCCTATAGCGCAACGATTACCTGTGCATGTTTGTCAACATTAGTGTACGTATCAGAGAAAATCATTTTGTGAAATCCTTCGATGAGATGATTTTTTTTCCAAGGGATCCGTAATTTTTCTAAGACGTAAGAATGGAATCTAACTTGAGATGGCAATCGCCATCACAGCCTTCGCTGGTCTATCTACCGATTCTCTGAACATATAATTATAAGTTATTATTTCAGTCAAGAAAGGAAGGAAGTTACGGCCAAACCCTAACATTCTGATCACTACTTTGGCCGCCACAGATCTTTCAGCAGGGGCATTTTCAAAGCCACTGACCATCACTTTAGATTCATTAACTCTTCAAGTTGTATCCGAACTGACATGAATAAACCGTCTATGAATTATCTAGTTTGACTTGAACAGGAAATCACCCTATGAGTAAAGGGTCTAGTTCACGGAATTACCGCCAAACACCAAGAAGAGGGATTTTTGTGATATTTTTAATGCTTGAAACAAATCTCGTTAGTGCTGAGTAATATACGTTCTACAAGTATATCATGCGACTGAAAAATAAGCTAGAGAGCTCGATCCAGACTCATATCTCCTATAATTGACAATCCTTTTGTCAAACTTAATGTACAGAAACAATATGAAACTTTTCCAGTGTTCTCCAAATCACCATTTAAGTTATTTAGCCGGAAAACTGAAAGGATATGCGGTCTATTCCCTTTCAAACTGTTTCAATTTTCTAAGGATTTACCGGTACAATAAATAATAGGATTTTGACCAGTCAGCGTACTCAGTCACTTTATAAAAGCTGATGAATCACTAATTTCAGTCGGTTTCCCAGGTGTTCGAAGTCTGAACAGATGTTCGTAGACGTCGGAAGCTTTAGATGTAGATTTCGTTCAAAAAATTAAATATATGCGAAGGTTTTTAGTGGTCGGCTCCTCAATTTATTACCGTCGCTGAGTTAAAAGACCAAAATCCGGCCACTCTTTTAAAAAAAACAAAACACTTAAAGCTACCTCATATCTGTCGTCATCACCTAGATAAGTAGCTCGCTCATCGTATCATCGTCGCTAACCAGTCTGTTGAATAAAGTTTTTCAAGACAAAAAGCACTTATTTTCAAACCATCCTCGCTAGAGACGAGTTGTTCGCCATGCAGTGAAACGAGCATTGCCCAGCCATCGCCAGCGGATGCTATTTTACACAAGTGTGAGTATCTGTAAAGAATAGTTTATCATGAACTCCTCAAAATAAGGGTTCTTTTGCCCAAGGCATCCGCACTTTAGAGCAGTGATTTCGAATTCGCCACTGAATGTTCGTGACCATGGGTTTGATATGGCATATTAGTAAAGATACCCAGGCTAAATCCTTCAAATAAATGTTCTATTCTCTAAGGATCCGCAGTTAATCCAACATCACCCTCTCAGCAATGGCTGGCCCATATCTCTCTTTTGATTATGAATCCATGAATTTGTGCGGTCTCTTGAGATCACTTAGTCGGTGAAGTTTGAAACACCAATGACCACGACTCTAAATAAACTCACAGAAAATGTTCCATCTATAAATCGTCTACTACAGAGGCAAGTCATAAAACTTAAACTTTGCGTTTCTTTCGTAGTTAAGTTCTCTAGCTTGAACAAAAAAAATTCAAAATCTATTTCATAAAGGAAACTTCATTTTTCATAAACCACCCAAAACTGGCCCTAAAAATGATAAAATCCCCAATTGACATCCTTTTTTGTCTCACGGTTTAATGTTGGTTGGAGTGGAAGTCGTCAATGTGTTTGTGGTTCACAGCCTAAGAAACATTTGGCTATTTCGTGAGCCAAGCGCAAGCTTTGCTGATAAAGCGAAGATAATACAAGGCTACACTCAGATATTGTGATAGTTCATAGCAGTCATTTTCCTCATGTTTTCGTATGATCTTATCAACGCAGGTGATAACTCCTACTTACCAATCGTAAAAGTTAATATAATAAGAAAGCGTCTAACTCAATCGAGTTCATTTGCACACCTTTTGTTGCTATTAAGTCAGGACGCATTAAAAATCATAATTTATTGAACGTAAGAAATGAATTTCAGTGAATCAACAACACAGGTTTCTATTTAGGGCTGAGAGTCACCCTTGTCCAAGTATTCGATCACCGACCTTTTGAATGACCAAACGTGGAAAACCTGTAAACCTTCCAATAAGAGTGAACTTTGTCATTGGGATACCTCGTTGCTAAACGTGATCACTTTCTTTGTTCTCACTTGAGACAAACAGCTGTGCTCTTTTTCAGGACTATTTCTGCTATCTGAATTGAAAGTAAAACAAAAAAACTCACGATATTTTGTAAATTTTCATTGCTTCAATTAAATTTGCTAAAATTCTCATTTAAAGACTAGTCGCTTTCCACATAGTGTACCATAAGAATATAAGCTTCTATTTTTTTTTATTTGATCGCGGAATTTATCTGTTTAGAAAACCAAACTGTCCTACCTTTAACTTTGTAATCCCATGAAGAACTTTAACT